CCCCGCCCCGCCCCGCCCCGCCCCGCGCCTCGCGCCGGGTCCCGCGCCCGCCCCGGGCCATAGGCGTGTGTCAGGAAATGATAGGGAGGAGGTGACAGGCTGAGAGCGTACAAAAGGGGTGGCCAAGCTGTGAAACCCGCATAAGGCCAGCTCAAAAGCCTGTGTTCACTGAGGCCAAAGCTACCTTCCTGACATAAATTTAAAAAAGAAAAGCCGGGCCTGGTGGTATATGCCTGTAATCCCAGCTATTTGGACGCTGAGGCAGGAGGATCTCAAACTGAACACCAGCCTGGGCAACTATTGATTTAGCCAGACCCTGAGTTAATCCACAGTGAAAGTGCAGTGAAGGGTCTTATGTGTGTGCGCGCGTGTGTGCTTGTGTGTGTATTGTGGAATGAAAAGGGTTAGAAGGAAAAACACGTTGCACCTGCCTGTAATCCCAGTTACTCTACTCTATGTGAGAGGCTGAGGCAGGAACACTGCTCCTTAAAGGCCAGCCTGGGCAATTTAGGCCTTTCAAAAGGAAATGTAAAACTTAGGGATGTAGCTCAATGCTCCCTGAGCTCAGTCCTTATACACAACCCCACCCCCGTCAGGGTCGCAAATCTGTGTTTTCTGGAGTGTATTTGTCCATTTCTCTCCCAAGCTTAGGAAAGCCCTGTAAGCGTTATGGTAATTTCTCGAGTGACAGTTCTATTCACAGTCCCACACAGCTCACAGCTTTTCTGCACAGACTTATTTTCATGAGCTTTTATTATAAAAGGTATTTACATATTATACATATTTACAATTCTCATCCACCATCAAAACCATCAAAGTTTCCACCACGAGTTGCTCATGAATTTCTTATGAATGAGAAACTGAAATATGCACTGCCCTCCCCTCTCTTGTCTTTTTCTGGTTTGTAACTTACCCTTTGATTAGTTCTTCCCAGGCTCATTTACACATCCACAGGCTTCATCATTCTTGGTTCCAAACAGCCTCTATCCCTTCAAATCAGGAGCTGGTGAGCCTGTCTTCCTTTAGCTAAATCTCTTCACGCCATTTAGGGATCTGTTGGTCTCAGTGTGATCCGTTGTACCCGGGGAGAAAAGGCAGAAGGAATGGGGAAAAGATAGACAAGAAGACAAGAGCTGGCTTAGATGGTGGCTCCTCCGCCTGGTTGGTGAAATGACCCCACCCCCAGCAACTGTATGGGCATTTATTTATACCTTTGCAAAGTTAGTAACACAGGATTCAAGGTTGCCTAGTGACTAGTAGCTGACATTAACCAGGCAGAATGCTTTTCTCAGGACTGAGGTAGCTTGACTGCTTTAGGCATGGAGGCCTAGTCCTGCTTCCACACATTCGGCCAATGTCTAGCTTAGGCTGCTCCCACCTGCCACTTAGGAGGGTTTTTGTTTCCTCTCTGTTTTGTTCCTTCCCAGAAACCTTCAGACACGTTGTCCTGTACTGGGTGTCTGGCCGGTGTTAGGTGCTGGGACCCAGGCTGGTTTGCTATGTCCTGTCTAGGAAGGGAGGCTAGGGGTCCAGGATTGGGGGGTAGGACACCAGGGACCACCTGGGTTGGGGTGCAGCAAATATCCTTGCTGAGGTCCACCGTGGACCAGCCCTGGGGCTGGGGATATGTCACGTCACCCCCAGTGTTTATCCCCACAAGAAAAGAGTGAAGGGGGAGGAGCCTTATGGATTGAGCCTTAGTCCCCACTCCCCACATCCGTACACTGAAACTCCAACGCTCAGTTCCTCAAGCAGTAGCTGTGTTTAAAGATGAGATGATGTGAAATGACAGTCCTGAAGGTATGTCCTATTCCAATGGGCCAGAGGAAGAGGAGACTGAGACACAGGCACCCAGGAAGGACTAAGTAAAAATCAGGAAGGCTCCCCCTGTAGGCCAAGGAGAGATGCTTCCGAAGAAGCCTGCTGTGCCAACACTTTGGCCCTGCATGTGGAGTGTGCCCTATTGTGAGATAATAAAATTTTGTTCCTTAAGTCACAGCATTGTTATGATGGCCCTAGCAAATTAATACAGGGAATGATTACAGTACCTGGAAAGAAAGGGATGACGGTGTATTTTGTCCACTTATTTCTAGAGCCAGCATCTTGCTTACTGGGAGAAACCTGTTATGATTTAAAAGAAGAACATTCTCCAAAGGTCCATGAGCTCAGGGTGATGTAGGGGAAACTCCCTACCTGAAAGATACCTGGGATGATTTTCTGTTCTCTAAAACTGAAGAATGAAATTTAGGAACAACGGAGCTTAAGAACAGAGTATATTTGTTGGGGAAAAGAAAGTTTCTGTCCGACAGAGTGGGTTGCCATGGAACCTGTCTTGGTTAGAGATTTTTATAGAGCAGCACCATGAAGGGAGGCAGGTCTAAAGTGGGAAACACGGGAACTCACTAGATGGGCATGAGGTGGACAAAACTATGGTCAACAATAGGATTACAAGCATAATTGCTCAAGTAAAACTGAATAAATCGGGATCCAATGGGAAAGAGAGTCATGTAACAAGTGGGCATGAATACAAAACTCTTTGGGCTTTTCCTGCAAGGGATTGGGCTAGTGCCTGCTGGCTTTTTCAAGGTGATTGCTGCCTATTTAGAATATCAGTTCTTGATGCCCCCTGCTAGGGAAGCACGTGGCTGCGTTTGTTTAATCTTTTTTCTTGATGTCTGGCCCGCAGTGGGAGTGTCTGTCTTTCCCACAGTTGCAAGCATCTTCTCTTGCGTATTGTCTCCTTCCAGGCCCTAGCCCTGTCTGATTGCCTATAATATTTCTATCTAGGTGTGACTTACATTATTGTCATTTGCAACCAAGAATGATGACTTCTCAAGTCAGTATCCAATACTTGGAATCCTACGACCCTTCCTGTTCTAGGTTTGTCCAGACTCTGGGTAGATAAGGAAGAGAAGGCTTAGTTGAGAAGTAATGAGAAATAAGTTTAAATGAATTCAGTATCTCAAATAGCTCCGCCTGAGTATTTTCATTTTTCTTTTTAATGAAAACCATGTTACACGATTGTAGTGTTGATGAGGTTCTGAAAAGAGTAAGGACCTTTCAGGGCTGGCTTTCTGGGTAGCACCTAGGCTGTGGGTCCTGCTGGGGCTCTCAGCTGCCAGGTCAGTGGCAGCATCATGAGGACAATCAGAGCCACAGTATGAGGTGAGGAGGAGGGCCTGCTTCTCCATCAGCATCCAATAGGGCTTGGGAAGCCTGCGGATGTCTCTCTTTGGAAAAGTCGGAAAAAGAGATATTTGCTTGTTAGGATTATAAATCCGATAGTGAGGGATGGAGCTGAGCACTCAGGTCCTTTGCAGATGCAGATGGCTCCCTAGGCCTTGAGGTAGGGTGGGGGAGTGGTGGACAATTGCACTAACATATGTCAAAGAACCAGGGGGAGCCAGGCGGGCAAAGTGCCTGCAGCCAGGATCCAGAGCATAGGTGCAGCCAACGGCTTCCACACAGGTTGGAGAGGGTGCTGTGCTCTGTGGAGGTGGCTGCTCTCATGTCCTCGGTCAGGCCAGCCTCCTGAGGGCTGCAGGGCTGAGAGGCAGGTCACGCTCCACCGCTCTGGCTGTCAGTCCAGAGAGCTTGGCTTCTCATGGAGTTCTGCTTGTTGAGAGTGGACAAAGGGCTGATCCCCAGCTAGAACAGGCCCCAGGCCAGGAGTGTGTCAATGGAATGTTGTTCTATGCGTACACAGTTCAGCAAGGCAGGCGTGTTCTAAGTGTGCGCTGATGGAATGTCGTTGGCCTCTACAGACTTGCCTGCCCTGTAGCGGTGCCCATTGCCAGCCCTTCCCGGTGTGGCTGGCTGCTCTGCAGTGTGGGGCTGGGGTGGCCAAGTCTGAACAAAGCCACCAGTGGGACATCTGGAGTGTAAGTCCTGGTGACAATCGCAAGGTGACATGTTGGGGGACGTGGACGACAGGGGCCAGCATTGCTGCCTGAGCCATAAGCTGTCCCATCTGCCTTCCTCTGCCAAGATCACCAGTTAGTGATGGCCAGGGCGTGTGCTTGCTAGTCTCTGCTCATCCCATGCAGGACAGTATTGGGGGAGACAGGATTCAGACTAGAATGATGTGTGTGTGTGTGTGTGTGTGTGTGTG